CCCGACTGTTGCTGCATCCTCTATCTGAGCCCAGAAGCCAATGTCCTTCTGGCTCCCCTGCCCTGCCTCTTAGCCCTGTAGTCCCTTCTGAGTGGCAACAAGAGGCAGGCAGTGGGCAGTGCCTCTGAGAAGCTGTTTGAATAGTACAATTTCAGTCATGGTGGTGACAGCCACAATACGGCAGCCCCAGGGATATACAGCCTGGGGGATCTCAGGGTCAGTGCCCCCTGGCCTCCAGGCTTGGCTCCAGCTGAGAGTCCCTAGTTTCCCCAGGCCAGGCTCTGTTACCTGTTACCTGATAGCCTCTAGTCATCTGATGGGGAGTTCCTCCAGACCACAGCAGTGACCAGCACAGGGATGCTACCCTGATCAGCACTCTGACCACAGGCAAATCCTTAGCCAAGATGATCAAACACATTGTCTAATCCTGAGAGTTCCTGTGGTTGGGCACGCCAGCAGACCAGGACCTCCCACTCTGTACCTACCCCACTCAGATAATGGCAGGGTAGGATCTAGCCCCAACCCAAGGGGCCAAGGAGAAGCCCTCAGCAAGGGACTTGATTTTCTTCCAAGAAGGTGCTTCTGGGGTTGCCTGCCCTGTTTGCCATCCAGAGGGTGGGCCTGTCCCATGAGTAGGTCCTGTCCTCCCGCGAGTAGATCCAACCCTCCTCCCTGGACTGCTTCAGCCTGCCTGCCCCCATGTCCTTCTAGGCCTCAGCCTGAGCTCCCTCCTGGCTTCTCTTCTCTACCCAAACCTCAGCTCCCCAGCTGGTTACCTGATCTCTGCTGAGGAATGAAGGGCTCCTGGCCAGCCTGGTGGGGAAGAAGGGCTGTCCTCCCTGTCGCTGGTTGATGTTAGGCACCTGCTTCCACTTCTTCCACTGGGTCCCACCAGGAATGAACAGCCTGAAGGGCTAGGATTAGAACCTCAAGTCAGGAATTTTTGTTTGCTTGCTTGTTTTTTGTTTTGAGACAGGGTTTCTCTGTGGCTTTGGAGCCTGTCCTGGAATTTGCTCTGTAGACCAGGCTGGTCTCGAACTCACAGAGATCCGCCTGCCTCTGCCTCCCAAGCGCTGGGATTAAAGGTGTGTGCCAACAACACCCGGCCCCAAGTCACCAATTTTAAGCATGGTAGAGAATCTCATATTCACAGAGGCCTGGGAGATGCCATGGTTACAATGTTTTTTTATTCTTTCCTACAGACCAAGAAGAGCAGAAGGTCCCTCAGATCATGTCACCAGAACGTGTGTCCTGATCCTGTGGATGTCCCTAGGGATAACTCTAAAGGAAAGCAGTCAGGGCAGGACAAGGGTAGTATTGGGAAAAGCAGGTTCCCCCTGGGAAGGGGTAGCTGTAAGACCTAGAGGACCTGCAGGTCTTAGGACCCTGAAAGGAGGGATAAAGTAGAAGTATCTTGAGGGAGGGCCGCTCTATGGCGCTGGGTCAGGCCTCACGCCCTCCTCCGGGAAACTGCAGGTCCAGCTCTGAGGCCCAGCAGGACCAGGTGGTGATGGGAGGGGCAGCTCACAGGCCTGGTCCTTGTCCAGCTGACTCCATTTCACTTCCAGCAAACTGCAGGCTCAGCAATGAGGCCCAGCAGGCCCAGGTGGTGATGGGAGAGGCTGCTTACAGGCCAAAACAAAGAGACTTCTCTGGCCGCTTGGCCGGGCTTCAGGGCTGGGTATGTTGTCCAGGCAGAGCTGGGCCGTATAAGTGACACAGAGTCTACAAGTGGAACCTAGAAGGAGCCCACCCTCGCTTGGGTGTAGCCGAGGGTCCCGGATGAGACTGAACATTTCCGCCCCCCACACCGCCCCATGTGTGTTAGCTCCCACTCCCATGCCAGTCTTGCCCTACCCCTGCACTGTGGCCACCGCTTGCTGTCTCCTACACACCTGCATGATGGGGGCCGCACCCTGGCGCCTGCACACTCACCTCTGCACACTGACCCCTTGGGAGCCTGAGAGGAGCCTCTCACAAACATGGCCCCCTCCATACTGGGGAGGGAGTGGGTCTCTGCTTCTCCTGTGTCCCCATATCCATGACTAAGAAGGGTGTGGGGGAGCCTGTGGGGAGGAGAAAGCAGGCTGAGGCGTTAAACTAACACCCGTGCTCAAGGAGGCCTCTGTGAAATTGGTCCTGTGGCCATGACATCCCCACCTTAACATAGGCTGTCCTGGGAGATGTGCAGGGCAGTTCCCTGACCGTAGGGATAGAGAGCCTGGCTGCTCTGTTTTAAGAGCAGGGGGATGGCTGATTACTGTCTCCCCAATTACGGGATTCCAGGAGTTGGGGAAGGCCCTCCCACTCAATCCCCCATTCACAAGCGTGTTTTCTGTCTGGTCAGCTAGCTCTCGGTTCTACTTCCCTGAGTACATAGGGATATGAAGACCTCATATGACTGGGGTCTTCATACCACTGAGCTGACCAGCAGAAAAAGGGGTCATTGTCTTAGCTAGAGGGACTCATCTCTCATCACCAGGGGAGTTGGGTTTCTGCTTCAGAATAGGAGAGGATGCTCACTGTGAAACTGGGGGGTCCCTGGGGTACATTTTCTACTTCCATACCTACTAGTGAAGGTCACAGGATACCAACAACCCCAATTTAAGGTCAGCGAAGGTAAGGTCTTCTGGAAATTTGGACCTTATGAGGGGTGAAGGGGTAGCCCAGTGTTGAGCACATGCCTAGCACATATGAGGCCCTAGGTGACTTGTTCCCGTCTCAGCATCGGTAAACATGAACCAAACAGTGTCACTGGGGTCCAGCTGGGGCAGAGGCTGGCCTGCAGCTTCCCATTTCTCCAAAATGTTGAGTTGAGTGGTACTGAGTCCAATTCATGGCCAAGGGCTAGTTCACCTGTTATGGGAGACCCTCATTCTTTAGAGACAGTTTACACAAAATGATTTTTTGAAAGCAAGCATTCCAAAGAGGACTGGAATGAGCTGTCACTGCCAGGAGATAAGAAACTACCTGGGGGGGGGGTAGGGGTGTCATATGTTGTGGATTTTAAAGTTTAAAAACAAATATTTCTGAGGTACATGGCATATTGTTTTTAAGTGACCCCTTTTCTACCAAATCATGGTGGAATCTACCTCTTTGGGGGGCTTTCCCCCCCAATGATTCCTACAAAAGGGAGTGTAAAAACCATGAATGCAAATAGTATTATGATAGAGTCCGGTCTTTGGAGGATCAAACCTTTTGTTAGTGTACACTTTGGAGAATGTCCTTGTGCCTCAGTTCTTAATATGGAAAGAGCAGACTCACTGTAGCTTCAAGGATGTGTAGGAGACACAACCGTCTAGGAGCTCTGCAGCCATGTGCCCCCGGGATGCGGTTCTAGGATGAGATTGGAGCCCACGCTGCTCTTTATGTCTGGGCTCAGCACCCTCTGCCACTGAATTCCAGCTGGGTCAGGCTCTGGGGATTGTGGCTGGGTTGGAACCCTCTGGCATGGGCACGTTGGTGGTTCATTTGACACCTGTCTGTGACACCACATGATGGTCAAACTCCCTTCCTTACAAGGAGGGCTTGGTTAATAGAAATGGAGGCTAAGCCCGCTCTGGTGTTTGGTGTGCCTGCGTCATTACCTTTCTCATTATTGTGAATAAGTATCTGACAAGAAGCAACCCAGCAAAGGAGAGGGTTACCTCAGCTCCAAGTTCAGGGAGTACATCCATCAGGGCGAGGGAGAACTGTAGCAGGAACATGAGGCAGCTGATGGCCTTGCATCCACAGGAAGGATGGACTGGAGTGCTGGATGCTGCTGCTCAGCTCTATCTCCTTTCTATCTTGTCTGAGACCTCAGTTCATCCATCCACACATCTATCAGTCTACACACCCGTCCATTTATACCCATCTACCATCCTCCAGTCTCCAGCCATGCCTCAATCCAGTCATACAGTATGACAGGTGTCTGTCACTTTCACCATACAGGGTGCCATCGTGGATACATCTGGGATACAATTAAGGATAAGAGTCTGTGCCTCCCTTGTAGAGTTTGACTTGGGAGTCAGATATACAACAGAATGCTGAATTGTGTCCCTAGCCTCTACATGTGGTATCCCTTGAGACTAGAACGGCAGGTGGTCTTATTGGTGTCACCAGGAAAGGCTTCAGGTATATACCTACCATGGCCCAGCCCTGTTCCCAAATGTGCTTGGTTTCTCTACAACTTGCTCAATAGGAAGGAAGTGGGCATGAGGCCATACACCACTGCCCAGGGGATGGGGAAGGTCTACCATCAGAGGGATCCTAAACACTCCCACCCCCACAAGCCCTGCACCACTATCCCACACAGTAGAGCATTTCTAGGATGGTAAAGGTTAAATCTGGCGGGCTATCTCTATATGCTATTTGCTCTCTATTGAAGATTATGGGGTCACCTCCGCGGATGGCTTTGGGCCATGACCTGCTCTGCCTGTCTATTGGGGCTGAGGTACTCTTAGGCATGAATGGGGCCAAGCAGTGGTCTGCTGTTGAAGACTGGATAAGGTAAACATTGTACTGACAACCTCTTTACAGGGGTGCATTTGGAGTTGGATCGCTTAGGCTTTGGACACATTGCTTTGGTCCCTCTGTTCCTCTCTATTTCTGAATGGCTTCCCTAGAATGGCAGTCAGGCCTAGAAATGTTTGTCTCCACATCCCATAGGAAGAAGACATACCCTGTCCCTTCTCTAGCCTGGGGCATCAGCATCAAGGCTTCCTTCTGCTCTGGAGCTCTGACTGCTACTGCCTGCCATCTGAGACCCAGTGCTCCAAGAGCTTGCCCTAGACCTACCGTACCCATCATGTTGGCCCCAGAGCTCTGCTAGGTCCAGGTATGGCCTGTGATCTCACACAGCTGGGAGTCAGGGGAGGTGTGGAATCTGGTTGTGGGGGTTGAGAAGCCAGTTTGGTGGTGCTCAGAGGATGGCCCTCATGGCCCTGCGGGGTCAGAAGCCTGTGTTCTTGCCTTTCACCCATGGTCACAGTGGTCATATCTGGAGTCACAGGCAGTGTGTTTATTTGTGCTGAGAGCAAAAGCAGGGTGAGTCTGTACTGCAGGAGCCATTCCGTTCTTCAGCAAAGTTTTGGATCAGGTAACCAGTCTAATGGGGTGGGGACAAAGTGTTGGGAAGGTGGATAAGGAAGACGAATAGCACCCACATGGCAGCTTACAACTGTCTGTAACTCTAGTTCCAGGGGATCTGGCACCCTCACACATACAGTCAAAACATCAATGCACAAAAGCTTAAAGTTTAAACAAAGAGCTGAATGGCCAATAATGAGGCAGAAGAAAGGATAGGCAGGGTGGGCAGGCAGGCAGAGAGAATAGGTAGGAAGAAAACTTTGGGAAAGGAAAAAAGAGTGAGATAGAACAAAGACAGAACCGCAGGGGCCAACCACCCAGCCAGCCACAGAGTAAGAGTGAAAGTAAGGTGAACAGAGAAAGGAAAAGATAAAAGCCCAGAGGTAAAAGGTAGGCTGGTTAGAAACAAGCCAAGCTAAGGCCGAGCATTCATAACTAAGAATGAACCTTTGTGTGTGTTTATCTGGGAGCTGAGTGGCGGGCCCCCAAAGAGCAAAAGAGGAAAAAATAACCAACAACACCTAACTCAAAATGACAAGGGTACAAGGTGAATGTATGTGTATGTGAGCAGGTGTGTGTGAGCAGGGGCCTGTCCGCATGTCTGTGGGCACACGCTTGGGTGTGCAAATGTGGTTGGGCAGGTATGATGGGGAAGGTCCTTGGACAGGAGGAGTTTGGGGGATCCTGGTCCATAAGAAGAGTGAGGCTGGAGACAGGGCTCGGCTCTGAAGCCCCTTGGCCTTGGGCCCTCGGAGACTTTCCTGCTACAAACAGGCTGTCCAAATTCTTAGACTTTCCTGGATGAACTCCAGTCTCCTGTGAACAGGGAACTGTCCTCCCAGGACAGGAGAACCAGTGTGTGTGGGAGGGGCAGCCTGGGGTAGGGACACAGGGTTGGGAGGAAGTGGCCTGGAACTCAGATCAAGAGCCATGAGCGCCTCACTTCTGACTCAGGCTAAACTCAGTGAACAAGCACTTGGGTTCAGACTCTGGGACTGCAGTCCCCTGGGGATCTGCAGTGCCCATCTGGAGAGGGGCCATTTATGGGACTTGTGAAGACTGGGAAGGGGCCACCATTGTGTCCAGATCCCACCCACCCCGTTTTCCCATAATCCACTGCCTGCAAATCCATTACCGGTCACATCAGGGAAGATGAAGTTATTCTTTGTGAGGTTTTGGGTTCTGGTCAAGCAGATGAACTTGTCTATCATCTGATGAGAAAGCCTCCAGTTTCTACCTGTGGCCAGAGGAGCACATCATGGCTCTCAACAGTTGGCGGTGGTGAGGTATTTGCCCCCCAAGCCATCCCCAACCCAGGAAGCACCACCCTGACCAGGGTTCTGCACAGGACCCAGGGAAGCAGCGGCTCACCCAGAAGGCTGACCCTGGTGATGGTTTGGCTGCTTGTTTGTCTGAGGGACAGCATCAGGGAGAACTTGATATAATCTGTCTCGATCACCTGCATGTCTTCTTTGTCTGCCCTGGACCCTGAGGGACACACATGTAAGGAAACCAAGGTAGCTGCGGCCCTTCCCGCCCATGCCTCTCTCACCTTTGTTTTCCACAGTGAACTGTCCAGGCTTGGTTGTTGGGATCAGGGAATAGGACCAAGTGTCACAGCGCTTGCCCCTGTGGGGGAGATAGGCAAGGAAGGTGTAGGGGTGGGGCAAAGGGGTGAGGAAGTCAGCCAGCCCACCCTGTCGGACCACAAGAGCCCTCTCCACCTCCCCAGGCCTCCACTCTGGGGTCCTTCCTTCCTGGGAGCCTGGCTGGCTCAGCGCCATAAGAGTGAGTCCTGCTCAACCCAGCACTGGTCCTCACATCCACAGGGACTTGTCATGCCAAAAAGAAAGTTTCTGAGTGTCAGTAAAGAGCCTCCTCTGGCACCCAAGCCAAGAGGCTCCAGAAATGGCCAAGAACGGACTTCAAGTAAGGGCTGCCTGCCACTGTAAAGATGGAGATCCAGGCAGGACAGGCAGAGCCAAACAGGACAGAGAAGGAGGTTCCTGGCCACACCAGAGTGCCGAAAACCCATTAGCCTTCTGTCTCCAGAGTGACTCACAACATGGCTCCCTCTTGTTTTCAGCCAGTCACTGGGTTGGGCTTTTGCAATGGTTATTAAGCAGGCTGTGATAGACATGGTCTCTCGATGTGTTTTCTCAACCCCATGCAAGGCTCCTGGAACACAGCCCTGAGTCTTTGTTTGGACAGGAGAGGCATCCCACTCACCGAGTCATGGAGTTGGTCACCCGAAAATGGCTGTTGTTTTTTAGCTCGAACAATGTGATGTAGGGATGCAGCAAGGACCTGTGCTCTCTCTTGTAGGTGTTGCCCGCCAAGCCGAGGACAAACCACTCCCCCTGAAACTGCACGGCTGGTGATGGGCAAAGCTAGCCACTTCCCACTATTCCCTGGGCAGCCCACATCCGGCCGCGACCCCCTCCTCAGGGGGCTACTTCAGGCCCCCTCTGCATCAGTGACTCTGGTAGAACCCTGAATCTGCTTTTAATCTAGCAGGTAGGTGGTGGCCATGTGGCCTTCCCAAACCTGTGTTTGTCTCTGTTCACAGAGAGAGAGTGACGAGTGCTAGCACAGGCAGTACAGATGGGCTCACTCGGGAACTCTGGCTTCAGGCTCTGCCCTGGCCTCCCTGTGCAGTACCCACCCTCCCTCCACCCTAGCCAGCTACAACCTGTGTCTTCTCCTTTGAAAGAAAGCCCTGTACCTGATCACTTTCAAAATTCGTCAGCTGGGGAAAGCCTTGAGGTGTGGTTGGAGTCTGGCTCTCCAGGATTTGGGGAAGGGTGAGGATCAGCCACAGAGCCCACCAAGGGCCCATCCCAGCACTGACCAGGCCCCAGAGGGACAAGGCCTGACTGAGGAGCGGCTACTGGTGAAGCTTGTTCAGAAACCTATCTCTTCACGACCCACCTGGCCAATGCTCCTCCCTGGGAGTGTGGCGGACCAGGTGGGTGTGGAAGGAGGGCAGGGCTGACCCTCCTCACACCCTAAACACCTGCCAGGGTCTCCTGGGTCCCAGCCGAGGAAAAGAAAGCCTGCTGGGGCCATCTTGTGACTCCAAACACCTTTGCCACTGCCCACGTCTACCCTATCCGTCCTTCATGCCAAAGAACGACTTGTTCCAGGCAGGGGTCATGGCTATCTTTAGTCTCCACAGCTTTTTAACCATGGGTTTGGCCTGATAGCCTCCAAGCAGCTCCGTAGCCCCCGCCCCACCCCCACCCACCTCCATGTTCTAAAACCAATGTAGTATAAGGCACTGAATATTCACTGTCAGAGCACAGGGCTGGTAAGAGGGAGGAGGGAAGGGCTTTGGGAACACCAGGGCCAGGTGAGAAGTATTGGGGGTCCTTCAAAGGGGCCTTCCATGCGGAGGGGAGGCGCTGGGGAAGGACAATGTGGGGGTGGGGATCTTATGAGAGCAGGCACAGTGGGGGTAGGGCCTTTCGGAGTCTCATTCTCTGGAGTAGAGCCCCATGGGAGCAAGGTCTGTGGCAGTGGAGCTCTATGGGAGTGGGTCCCTAAGGAAGTGGGGTCCCATAGTTGCAAGATGCTATGGAGCAGGACCCTGAGTAGGGTCCTGATAGGGGCTGTGAGAGGTAGGTGCCATGCTATCCCTGGCCACAGGCCGTTGACTCAAGCTGTGCAAACTTAGTGTAGGTGGTTCCTGTCAGAGCCATCTCAGCATGTTCCCTGTGTTGTCTTTTCTGTAAGGCAGGACACTTGGATGATATGGACAGTAGAGCAAGGACAGACCAGGCCTCCAGACCCAGCTCAGGCAGGGCCCTTGGTGGGCCAGGCCTTCTCAGGCCTATGGAAACTTCACAGAGGACTTGCCTTCAGGAGATAAGCCCCATGGTGACACAGGGCAGGGCCCTAAGAAGCATCCTGGCTCTGCTCTTTCCTAGGTCTTGGAGGCTGTTGGAGCTATTTCACTCCATTTCCCCTTCAGGATTGTCATGAAATGAAGGGTGGGCAGCCCAGGGTAACATACTAGATTTATGGCAACAACAATCCAGTCATCCTGGTACCTCGGGCATCTGGGATCCTGGTGTAGTGTCCTGAAGCTGACCAAGGCCTTCTACAAGACCAGGATCAGGGGGAGGGGGCAGGTGATGACACTTGGAGAAGCAGGCAGCTCAGGTGGCGACCATCCCACTGACAACCCAGGACCCCTGCCTTGCCCTCTTTTTTCCTTCCACCTGCCCACTGTCCTCTTTGTCCTCCTCAGCTACCTCCATCTTTCCTTCCGATGCAGTCAGAGCAAACCACCTTCGATCTGCCCTGTCTCCTCTCTCTGGGAAGACTCCTGAGTGCTGCCCTCTGCTCACTTCCCTCACCCCAGAATTCTTTCCCAGGACACTTTCCTGAGTGGCAGGAGGCCCCTGAGAGGGGCTATCTGTCCACAGAGCATCTGGGTGAACAGGAGGGCAGGTGTACTACTGCTTGTCCATGCCTGTTGAGAAATGGCACAGCCCCTCATGTCCAGGCAAGGCAGGACAGGTCACCTGCTCTGTGTGTCCCCCTCCAGGTCAAGTCCTCTAGTCCTGTGGTCTCAGGCAAGGTGATTAGTTACATATTGGCTTCCACAGATTTTTTTTAAAAAGATTTATTATGTATACAGTGTTCTGTCTGCATGTGTCCCTGCAAGCAAGATGAGGGCACCAGATCTCATCAAATGGTTGTGAGTCGCCATGTGGTTGCTGGTAATTGAACTCAGGACCTTTGGAAGAGTAGCCCCTGCTCTTAACCACTGAACCATCTCTCTAGCCCGGCTTCTACAGATTTTTAAAGTTATTTCTTCTTAGGTATTATGAATTACCTATTAAAATTCAAAATTGATGTAAAAATTATAAGAAACATTTGTATATGAATATGTGTTGTGTTGTATATCATGCACATGTATGTATATGCATGTGCAAGCATGCAAAGCAAGAGGACAATGGGTGTCCTTTCTGCCTCATTCTACTGAGACAGGGTTCTCGCTGAACCTGGAGCTGTGCTGGGATGCATCAAGTTTGTCTGTGTCCAAAGCCTTTGGTGCTGGCGTTGAAGGTAGGACTGGCCATGCCAGGATTTGTTTTTTCAAGACAGGGTTTCTCTGTGTAACAGCCCTAGCTGTCCTGGAACTCTTTTTGCAGACTAGGCTGGTCTCAAACTCACAGAGATCCACCTGCCTCTGCCTCCAGAGTGCCGGGATCAAAGGTATGCACCACCACTGCCCTGCATGCTAGGATTTTTATACTCATTCCAGAGATCCAAACTCATGTCTGCATGATTGTGCAGCAAGCATTCTTACTCACTAAGCATCTCTCCAGCCCCTATAACAAATATTTTAAAATAAAAAAAGATATGTATGGGCAGTAAGATAGCTCAGCAGCAGATAGATACTTGTCTCTAGGCCTGTCTTTCTTCAGTTTATCCCCAGAATCTATGAAAGGTAGCAGGAGAGAGCAGTTACCCTCTGACCACACAAACATATATCCCCCAACCCATCAGGCAGACACACACACACACACACACACACACACACACAGAGAGAGAGAGAGAGAGAGAGAGAGAGAGAGAGAGAGAGAGAGAGAGGGAGAGAGAGAGAGTCTTCATACTCAGCCCTTTGAGACCTACAAGGCAACAAGGCAGAGATTCAGAGGGCTGAGTGTCTTGGCTGTGTGGGCCCAAGCCCTACCAGAGTGAGGCTATCACTTTCTGTTAAGGAATACAAGACAAGAAGGTGAAAGTTGTTCCTGGGATCAGGGCAACGAGGCCAAGCCAGGCAGGCCCGCAAGAGCAGGGTGCTCTTCTGAGCTCTATTTTTTGTGGATAGGATAGTCTCCTGAAATTCCTCCTCCCAAGGCCCCTGGAGCTCCATTTTCCTTCCAATCTATTTTCCTGCCCTTCCAAAGTCTAGCTGCCCAGAGACCCTGAATGATTAGAGCCTCCTCCGGGGTAGCCATGGTCCTAAGAGTAGCCACCCCATCGCTGTAGCTTTCATTCCTCCAAAGGGCTAGCAGACAAGACTTCATCTGACTTTGCTCTAGCTGTCTTTCTAGAACTAAATATCACTTGGGGTGTCCTGGGGCTTCTAGAGAGGAGGACATGGTGGGCTAAGGAGGCAAAGGGCTAGCCCACCTTTGTCTTCCTGTCATCAACAGATGGCTGAGCCTGGCCCTTAAGCTCCCAGGAGCAAGGATTTGCCTAGTTTGTGTCCCTAGGGCCCGGGACACTTGAGAAATGCTTATCAAACGAATGCTGGAAGATGTCAGGCCACCAGCAAGACGATGTCTGGGGAAGAAACAGGAGCAGATGCAAGCCCAGCTGTGTCTGGGATGATGTGCAGTTCCCTGAACTCCAGCCCTGGCCTCCAGAGCCAAGTAAGCCATCCCAGCTCTGGAAAGAACAACACTCCCATCTAGAAAGGCCCCACTCCTCCCTTATGGAGATATACACAACTTGCTTCCAGCTCCCTGGTAACATTGACTACAGTCTAGGTAGGGGTTGCTGGGGCACAGCTATATCAGAGGTTTGATCTATAAGTTGAGAGCCCCATGCTCACCCCTAACTGGTCCATGAAGTAGGTTTCCTGCTCCCTGTTCTTGAGGTACAGTTTTCCACTCTATATACTCTGTCCCCTCAAACCCACCCTGGTATCTTCCTGGAAAGTGCTCCTAGATCTATAGCTTTTTAGCTTCCAAGGTCAGAAGGGGCTTAAGAGGACTTATTGGAAGGCCTGTGTCTCTCTAGAGAAGGCACCCTAGATATGGTCCTGAGTCCCACCCCCATGGGCACTAAGCCAGCACAGTGGGCTGGGGTAGGGGAGTAAGGGAAGGCAAGTGCCAGGCAGGGAAAGCCTTCATTGCAGAGGGGAACAGGCTCGGGGAGAGCAGGGATGTTTGCTTCTGGGTAGAATTCTCCCTAGGGCAGAATCCTCAAATAGCCAGGGGGCAAGTTGCCTTCCCTCCCCACCTCAGCCTGGTGGAACTCCCATTCAGGATGACAGAAAAAAAAATCCATGGCCAAGTCTGATGTTTACTGGAAAGCCCCAGAACAACACAGATATATGAAGGGGTTGCTTCTAGGGACAAACAGGAGAGACTCCAAGGTTCAGGATTCTCAGAACTCTGGAAGGCCAGTCCACTGTCCACAGCTTCCCCACCAGGTGGCCTCATCTCGGTAACTCTGCAGTGGACACAAGCCTTAGCAGGGGCAGAAAGGACAACCCTGACCTCAGCCCCCACTGCTCTGCCCGGCTGACACAGCACTCACCATTCAGGATGTGGAACTGGTCCGCAGTCTCGCAGAAACCTAGGGGCCCAGGCAGCAGTAAGGGGGTGGGGTGGGGATGCAGGGTGTCAGGGAGGAGGAGACTGGGCTGGGGAAAACTCACCATACTTGGGAAAGAAAAAGATCTGGTGTTCTGTCAGGTTGGCTCCCCTGACTCGCTGCTCAAACACATCCAGGGCAGAATCACTCACTGGCAATGAGCGGACTATGGAACAGACAGAGTTCGTGTGGTTTCAACAGGACAGACACAGTCAGGTCTGTTCCTGCCCCATCTAATGCCCACACCAGCCCAGATGCATCTGCTCTTCCCAGGAGAGCTACTGATAGTATCAGAACAGAATGGGAATGGGGAGGGTCTACGTGTCCACCCAGCCCATCAGGATGGCCCTTTCAGGATGCAAAGCACAAGGTCATGTGTAGATGCAGAGTTAGCACACACCATAGAGTTTCACAGACAGCTTCCTCGCCTTCTCCAGATACAGGATGGCAAAGTTCTGGTAGTCAGTCTCAGCAACAACCACATGCACTGGCACACGAGCCCCTGGGGTTGACGTAGAACCATAGTAGCAGCATGTCAGCTCCTCACCCCTGCCTCCAGCCCTGTACCCTCTTGCTTGCTGCCTTTGCCTCACCTTGGAGCAAGAATCGACCAGGGACCCCTGTATTTCCAAAGAGTTGGCGTACCTGCCAACAGATCCCATCTCTGGGGAAGAGAAGAAGGTATGCTATAAGGAGGCACCCAGGGCTCTAGGAACTCCAACCCAGGTGGGGCCATATGGAATATCTACTTAAGCTAGAGAAGAGCTGGGGGTAAGGTTTAGAGTTGAGAGGACAGGGTAAGGTGGGCTCAGGGGTTCTGATGAAGGTGAGGCAGCACTGGGACTCACAGCTTTCGGAAGGTGCTGACAGCCATAGCTGCACCCTGAGGAGCTGTGTGCAATTTGGTGGCCTCAGCCCGGTGGCCCTGCTCCTGAAGAAAGCGGCACGCAGAGCCCACTGCCACAAGGAACCATGTCCCTGCAAACTGGAAGTGGATTGGGAGGGCTCAGGACTAACTCAGGGAATGGGCATCCTGAGTCAATCCTGCCACGCTGTTCCTTTACCTAACCCCTCTCATTCCCAGCTTTTACCTGTTGAGCATTGAAATTGGCCTGGGCCTGGATGGTGCTGATGGGGGATGTAGACCTAGAGGGCTTTCGAGCCCTTTGGGTCAGCGAACTGGTTGTCAAGAGCAGAGTGAACAACACAGCCCTAGGGGACAGCATGGCTGGCCTGTCAGGGACAGTAGGCGACAGGAGAGGGAGGTGGAGGGTTGCACTGTCCCAGGTCAGAGTCCACTGTCCAGTACCAACGGAAGCACAGCCCAGGAAGTCCACATCTGTCTTCCGCTTACTGAAACCCTACCCCAAGCTAGGGTCCAAACTAGAACCTGGCCTTGACAGGCGCTTGGCATTGCGTTCCAAGTGCAAAATCTGAGTTGACTTCTGCGCCCCGATTTCCACTTCAGGTCAGTGATCAACCCTTTGCACGCCAGTAACTGGTCTTATCCCCACAGCCAACAACAACGTGCTCCTAAAGCTACTTGTTCAAAGCTCAGCAGCAGAGAGAGCCGGCGCAGAGGCTCGAACCCGTCCAGCTGTACTCGTTACTGCCACCCTCTCGAGTAGCCAGGGGCAAATACTGTCCTATGAGCAAGAGCGTACGATCGCGCGCAGGCGCATAAAGAAACGCCGGCCCAGACTCGGAGCCCGAGGCGCAGGCGCAAGAGTGGCGGACATCGATGCCTCGGGGCTCGCGGCGTCGAGCCTGGCTCCTCCGGAAAGACGCGGAGGCGGGGGCTAGAGCGGCGGCGGAAGCGGGGCGCAGCGCAGCGGGCGGAGGCGCCGCGGTGAGTCCCGGCTTTGGCCCCGCCATGCTCACTTGTGTCATCTGCCCTGTCCCTCGTCACCGGCCTTGTGCCCCATCACTCCCAGTCCTGCCGTCACCAGCCTTGTGCCACCGTTGGTGTCCCTTATCCCCGGCACTGGCCTTCGTTTATTTTCTCGGGCCTTGTCCCGGTCATGGGCCTCGCCCTGCCTTCACTGGCCTTTGCCACCTTCGCGGCCCTTGTCCACTGTCACCAGCTTTTTTCCTGCAATGTGTACACATGTACAGCCTTTTGTCACCTTATCTGCCCAGTAATGGCCTTGGCAGGCTGTCACCATCCTAGTCCACCCGGCAATGTTCAATAGGTGAATGAAGGAGCTGCTGCCCAGTCTAGCTAAGCAGCAAGGCTGATTCCTGCTGTCTGCTCTGACATTCAGAAACCCCACCCACTCTTACCACCCTCCTGGTCAGGCTCTCTCCTGAGGCCACAAGGCAGAGGCCACTGGCCAGGAGGAGCCTCTTCTCAGAAGAGAGTCAGCCCTGGCCTGAAGTCTTGGGGCAGCAAGGTCAAAGACACGGCGGGGTGTCCATCAGTTGGCCCTTAGTGGTAGAACTTGGAGCTGCCAGTTTGGTCAGCCCAGACCTGTTTGCCTGCCTTGGTGCTCAGGTGTCTCCCGGGGCTCAGGAGCATGGGGAAGGTGTGAAAGGCCCCCACCTGGAAGGTATGAAGATGGGGGCCACCCCCCACTCTTCCTGTTGCACTGGTCCTCGTGGTACTGAGATGCTAACATCTGGTCCAGCAAGTGCCCCTGGAGGATGTGAGGTGGTTCAACATTACTGTCTGGGTGCTTCAGGAAGTGTTGGGTGGGACAGCGCTGCTGGTACCCCCACCCCCTGCACATGCTCAGTGCAGTAGAATTCTTGGCTGGGCAGTTGGTGGGGCTGGAGGAACAGCCAGGGACTGCCATGGCTGGAGTACCAGGCCACCAGTCTCTCCCTGGGGTTGGGAGTGAGGAGGCCTGGGCTCAGAGCAGCCATTGGTGGGTTTCAGGACCGTCTGGGCAGAATGTCACGATGGACGAGGGGGGCATGCCCCTGCTCCCCGACAGCCTTATCTACCAGATCTTTCTGAGCCTGGGCCCTGCAGATGTGCTGGCTGCTGGGCTGGTATGCCGCCAATGGCAGGCTGTATCCCGGGACGAGTTCTTATGGAGGGAGCAGTTCTACCGTTACTATCAGGTGGCTCGAGATGTGCCCCGCCACCCAGGTCAGTACCCACATAGAGCTCATGACTCAAGGACCTTACACACATGGGCTGTGTTGGGGGGTAAGGCGGGAGGCGTCTCTGTGATAGCTGAGACCTGATTGATGAGTGGAGGGTCCCAGAGATTCTACAGGACAGCTCAGGGTAGCCATGCTATCAGCTCTTGGTCTTTACAAGTAAGGGAGCCTTGCATTCAGGAGAGTTGACACTGTATTGCCCACAGCGGCCACGTCCTGGTATGAGGAGTTCCGACGGCTCTATGACATGGTACCCTGTGTGGAGGTGCAGACGCTGAAGGAGCACACTGACCAGGTCTTGCACCTCAGCTTCTCCCACTCGGGGTACCAGTTCGCTTCCTGCTCCAAGGACTGCACAGTGAAGGTGAGAGTGCTCCTCTTATGCAGCAGAGCTGAGGGGCAAGAGAAGCCAGTGATGAGAAAAGCAGAGATGGCCAGATAGGACAACACACGACCCCAAGTTAAGAGCAGCTCTAACCTCTAGCTCCAGGGGCCAGCCCTCTACACTGATGGGATGGGATGCGAGTGGGTGGTAAGGGCTTAGAATTGAGATTGTTGCCTGTGAGGACTCCACCCTCAGTGGAGAAGAGTCAGGACTGCTGGTGCTGCCAGACTGAACTGGCCAGGTAATTACCATGCAGCCCCTTTGGTGCAGATCTGGAACAATGACCTGACCATCTCGCTGCTGCACAGTGCAGATATGAGGCCATACAACTGGAGCTACACCCAGTTCTCCCAGTTCAACCAAGATGACTCATTGCTGCTGGCCTCGGGGGTGTTCCTGGGGCCACACAACTCCTCCTCAGGCGAGATAGCTGTCATCAGCCTAGGTGAGTGTGGGCATTGGGTTGGGCTGCCTGCCTGCCTGCCCCAATGTGCCCTGTCAGCAGCATGCCCAGCTGTGGCTTTTCCCCCAGACTCCTTCGCCCTGCTGTCCCGTGTGCGAAACAAGCCCTACGATGTGTTTGGCTGCTGGCTCACAGAAACCAGTCTCATTTCGGGGAACCTGCACCGCATTGGAGATATCACCTCCTGTTCAGTGCTATGGCTCAACAATGCCTTCCAGGTTCAGATTGGGGCAGGGACAGGCTGGGCAAACAGGTGGGGTAGGGCAGGGTAATAGAGAAGATGGTTTGGGCAGGGCTGGGCATGGAAGGACAGATGCAGGGCCCAGGATAGGTTGCTCGGTAGGCCTGGCTCTCTGGCCAGCACCCACCTGTTGTGGGTCTTGGCTTATTTCCCACGTAGGATGTGGAGTCAGAGAATGTCAACGTGGTAAAGCGGCTCTTTAAGATCCAGAACCTCAACGCTAGCACCATCCGTACAGTAATGGTGGCTGACTGCAGCCGCTTTGATAGCCCGGACCTCCTACTGGATGCTGGTGACCAGGCTGGGCTCCCCTGCCGAGTCTTTGACCTAGGTGGGGACAGTGAAGAAGAAGTCCCTGACCCAGGTTTGCACACCTCTGGTTCTGGCCGTGTCAAGGAAGGTTTGCGGCGCATGTTGGATAATGTGTTGGATGGACATGCACAGATAACAGATTGTGCACTGGAGACCAAGGTGGCTGAGCTGCTGGCCCAGGGCCACACCAAACCCCCAGAGTGTAGTGATGCTAACACCAGGAACAAGTACCTCATCTTCACCACTGGCTGCCTCACCTACTCACCACATCAGATCGGTAATGGTGGGCAGGGCAGAGCTGGGCCTGGGAGGGTCAGAAACCACTGTGGTGCTTCCAAGACCAGCAAGTCCATAGCACAGCTCTGGCCTTGACACACTCGATTCCGTGTAAGAGCGGTGACAACCCAGGCAGAGGATTGGTTGGCAAATGACCAGGTGGGCAATTGTGCTTGAGTCTAAGTGTAGGCAGTGTTTGTGGACCACTAGGGCTGTTCTTGGATTGGGAGTGCCCTGGTGGTGATGTCCCTGCAGGCTCTGGATGACCCCTAACCCTGGTCTCCATGCAGGCATCAAACAGATACTGCCACACCAGATGACTACAGCAGGGCCTGTGCTGGGTGAGGGCCGGGGCTCCGATGCCTTCTTTGATGCACTGGACCATGTCATTGACGTGCATGGGCACATCATTGGCATGGGCCTGTCTCCTGATAACAGGTGGGCCTGGTGTGCTGGGTGGGACACCACAGATGGCCCAGATCTAATAGCATGCTTGTACCTAACATGTATCCCTTGCTCAGGTACCTCTATGTGAATAGCCGTGCCTGGCCTCCTGGCTCAGTGGTTGCTGACCCCATGCAGCCACCACCCATTGCAGAGGAGATTGACTTGCTGGTGTTCGACCTCAAGACCATGCGGGAGGTGAAGCGGGCTCTGCGAGCGCACCGTGCCTACACACCCAATGACGAGTGCTTCTTCATCTTCTTGGATGTCAGCAGAGATTTTGTGGCCAGGTGTGGGCTCAGGTGGGCCCCAGGGCTTGGGTATGGGCTTGAGCAGGTGGGTGTGGGCTCATCCAGATGCTATCCCACAGTGGGGCTGAAGATCGGCATGGCTATATCTGGGACCGCCACTACAACATCTGCCTAGCCAAGCTGCGGCACGAGGATGTGGTCAACTCGGTAGCCTTTAGCCCCCAGGAGCAGGAGCTCTTGTTGACAGCCAGCGATGATGCCACTATCAAAGCCTGGCGTTCACCACGCACTGTTCGTGTCCTCCAGGCCCCACGCCCACGCCCACGCCCCTTCTTCTCCTGGTTTGCCAGCCATAGGCGCTGAAGGCATCAGTGACTTGAGCCATTTGGACCCACTGGGGAAAATGATACCCTGTGGTTGTTTACTGCACTGGGGCAGAATAGCTCACAGCAGTAATGCCTTAGGAGGGGACAGCCTGACCCCAACACACTCACATGCAACCTGCTCACTTAGCCATCAGGCTCAACACTAGGGTAGCCTTTGTTGGCAGCATCAGAGATCCCATGTCAGCCTCTTGGCCAGCTTGGAGTATACAGGACAGTAGAAGTCCTGTTCTTCACTTACCCTCGTCCCCTGGGCTGCAGCTCACACAGCTCCAGGCTGACCACTGCCTGGTTACCTTTTATGCTGAGCAAAACCCACACCCTCGGATATCCTGAGTGACAGGCCATAGGCTCTGGTCTCTGATAATTAGATTTGCGCTACTGATTGAGCAGCCTGCAGTGGACCGTGGGTGCTGCATGTTGCACTCATTAACTGTTTGGGTTAATGAATAAACAGTTGGCAACAGCACATGCCATCTAGTCTGTTTATGGGGGGGGCAGGCTCTGCTGGTCAATGTCATCCTGGTGGTGTCTGCCTCAGGGATCCCCCAGGAGGCTGAAGAGGAAGTGCTGCTTCAGGTGTGTACCCCAGGCCTTCAGGGATTCCTGTCCATAACTGCCGATGGATGCAGGAGGGTAGACACAGTGCTTGGGGTAGGATGGGCTTTAACACAATCAGTACCATCAGGAGAACTTCCAGAGCAGGATATAGTGCTCCTCAGGGGACTGAGGCAGGAGGACAGAGTTAAAAGCCAGCCTGCACTACAGAACAAGTTCAGGGTTGATCTAGGCAACTTGGTTAGTCTCCGGCTTGAGAGTAAAAGAAAGTTGGGGGTTGTGGCTTAATAGTAATAGTGCTTGCCTGACATGCACTGGATTTCCCAGTGCCACCAAAACACAAAACTCCTAGGATGTGTGAGAACCCAAGGTGCAAGGGTTGCTCTAGGTTATCCTCAGAGCTCCCATCATCTGCCTTATCCAATTAAGGGTTTCGTGTGTGATGGTGGCAGTTGGGAAGACTTGGGGCTTTGACAGAGCTGGGTGACCCAAGTAAGAGCTGGGTGAGCAGCCTGTTACACTGTGATCTCATTAGCTGCCCTGCTATGAAGAACAGGAAACTTAACCCAGGGGGCTGAGTGAACAGGGATTGCTTCCGATCCTTCTGGTGGGAACCACACTGGCTGCATCAACGGGATGGGACAGGACACTGCATGCAGATGGCACCAGGAACCCAGGCCTTGTCTGTGACCTGTTGCTGATGCAGCAAGTGTCCAGCAGCATGAACAGCAGTGCCAAGGGGCAGGAGGCAGCCTCCGTCGGAAAGCACTGGGACCACAAGGCCATCCAAAAGCCTCTGAGGGAAGCCAGGAGGAAATGGTTGTGTGGAGACTGGGCTGGGGCTCAGTGTGGAGCGCTTGCCTTGCATCCCTTAGGCCCTGGTTCCCTCCCTAGCATGACAAAAGCAACAATGCTGATCATTCCACACAAGACGAGCCTCAACCTAAGAAGTCAGAGCTCAGGAGAGACTATTCTCGCCCTAGCCCAAGTCCAACAAGTTCATATATACTCCCAAGATGTTGCAGGAACTGCCTGAAAAGGACTCTGGATTTGTCGGATTTAAAGTAAAAAGAAAACAGTAGCACCTATTTAGATAACAGAAGCAGTGCACTACAGAACAAAACCAGGGAGAAATAAGGTGCATGTAGAGATTTAAAATTGAACTGTGGAAGATAATAGTAACAAACTACAAGTTCAGCCTTTTTAAATGTTGGGCTTTGCTTGTCAAGGAGTAGACTGAGCATCATGGAAGGCCAGAAGAGGTAGAGGTGACACGCTAGTCAAGATGGCTCAGTAAGTAAGGGAGTCTGCCACAAGTTTGACTATCGTCCTTGGGACCCACAAGTAAGAAGGAAGGAACTGACGCCTACAATTGTCTTGTCACCTCCATACGCCTGCCATGGTCCCCACATGCACAACATAAAAACATAATAAAACTTTAAAAGAGGGGAGACACTCATTCCCACTTACACAGCGACGGTGAGAGATTCAGTATTAAATTTGGCACACTGCACACATGCCCATGAAACTTCAGCCCAGTAAGGACTGTCTCTTGAGGAGACAGTCCGGTTCCAGAGTAGACAGAACAGGTCTTGGGGCTGGCTCCAGCTCCACAAATGTGGCTGCAACTGACCAGAGCAACAACTGAGAACCTGGAGTGCAGGGCAGGAGGCAGCCCATTAGCTGGTAGTATTCATTCACTCTGGACACCAACCCTTGGCATCCAGGGCCTGACTCCATGCAGCCAGAGCCTGGAAAGAGCACTGATGGCGTGGGCTACATGGAAATGCCCTGCATTTGCTGGGTCTCTTGGGTACCCTAGTGGTGACGGGAGATAGCCACATTGCCTTACAGCTACAGTCCCAAGAAGGTGGGCACTGTGTTACTGTTCTCCCTCTATCCTCTTGTCATAGGGAAGCTACTGTGGTCCAGCCGAGGAAGGGCAGCACAGCTGGGTGGCTAGAACCCCAAACATCTGGCTAAATGGCCAAATGAGGGACCTGAAGGGGAAGCACAGGAAAGTGAAAAGAATAAATTTCAACATCTGCTGGTAGAGTTTCAGTAAGCAAAGATATAACAGAACACCGTGGGAATTCTACATTTGAATTAAAGTTCAAAATAACAACTCCAAGCAGACCACTGAAAACTTAAGTGCATATTTAAATTCTTAAAAATTTGGGGACACACACTTTTGGGGGCCAAAGGACAATTTGCAGAAGTTGGTTCCCTTCCACCATGTGGGCTCTGGGGATTAGATTCAGGTTTTCAGGCTTGGCAGCAAGTGCCTTACCAAATGAGCCTTCTCGTGTCGGCCCTAAAGTGTATTTTTAATCTTTGGAATGCTAAAATTACTATACAAAGAGATAGTTAAGGTGATAATAAACTATAGCAGAGCACTAGAATGTTCAAATAACCATTCCATTATAGGTAGGCAAACCAGAAAACCAGTGGAACACAACATCTAAGCATATAAAAAATCATATAAAAAAGACCTTTTCATTTAACAGGTATCACTATATAGCCTGGGCTGGCCTCAAACTTGAGATCCTCCTGCTGAGGCTTCCTGAGAGATGGGACGATAGGTGTGTACCACCACATAGTGCATAAAAACTTCAATCCAAGTCTGCTGTGAGGTCTGGCAGCAAGCCTGTGGGACTCCCTAAAGTCCACCAGCACAACTAAGTTAAAGAATAGACAAATGTCACCCCAGAATCCAGGTGTCAAGAGTCGCTACCTACGTGCCCTCAAAGCCCAAGGGAGCAGCAGCATTGTCAGGAACAGTGCTCTGTGGAGAAAGGAATGTTAGCAAGAGCCTCGGATGGAGAAAAATGAAGCAGCCCAGGGCTGTGGGGCAGCCAGCGTCCCAGACAGAGCCACCGGCACTGCAGAATGCTCTGGAAGGCACAAATAATAGGGTCCTTGACTCCAGAGGTCAACAGGGCCAAGAGGGTTGTCCTTGTCTTTCTTGGCTCCTGGTGACTTGAAACAATCTTGGTTTGTGATAGCAGCACTCATGTCTTCTGTCCTCCCACAGGTATCTGTCCCCTGTAACCTGTCACCTTTGCTGTGTGTCTATCAAGGGCTCCCATTTTTATGAAGACATTGGGCCATGGATGGATTAGGAACCACTTTGATGACTGTCTTAATTTGACTAACTTTCTAAGGATTCTACTTTCCATTCTGATGGCCTAGGAGTTCTCTGAGGTAGTGAAGGGTGTAGAATCCACCCTCTGCAATGAACTAGCTGTATGAAACAGGTCTGTGCAGAACATACTACCCATTAGCAGGACATATCCCTCCTACAGTGCCCAAACAAAACCCACCAAGTCAGACCACAGCCTGGGTGGATCACCAAGCAAATCCCAACACCTCCAAGCTTTTTAAAAGACCGAATAGTTCTGTGTCTTGGTCCACTCATGAAACACCACAGCCCGAGTGGCTCATGGAGAAGAGTTTATTTCTCACGGTTCTGGAGGCTGCAAGTCTACGGTTGGGGTGCTGTAGGCTCGGTGTCCCGTGAGGGCTGTTTCCTGGGTAATGAAGGCTATCTTCTGACAGATCTCACATGGTGGAGGCATGAGTACACTTCCCTGGGCCCACAAAGGTTCTATTTTCATGATTCAATCACCTTCAAAATCTGTCTCACTGGAGGCATGTTTCAACATAAGAGTTTGGGTGAGACAAAAATTTCTGGTCTTGTCTTAGTCTATTTTGGCTGCTATAAAAAGAACACCTGAGACCAGCTAACACGTAACCAACAGTGTAACTGACTCACAGCTGTGGAGAGCAGGAGTCAAAGAAGCAGCAGCCAGCATGTGGTGAGAGTCTCGGCACATCCCTATCTGGTAGAGAGGACTCAGGATGGGGAGCGTGCCTTGTGAAACAGCACCAATCCTATCCACGAAGACGGAGATTTACCCTGTAATTTCCTCTAAATAATGCTACAGTGATCATTAAATTTCAACATAAGGGGCTGGAGAGATGGCTCAGCAGTTAAGAGCACTGGCTTCTCTTCCAGAGGTCCCAAGTTCAATTCCCAGAAACCACATGGTGGCTCACAACTATCTCTAGTGGGATCTGGTGCCCTCTTCTGGCACAAAAAGTGTCCCTGCAGATGTAGCACTAATATACACAAATAAATCTTAGCTGGGCTCACTATGTGCCAGTGCCTTTAATCACAGCACTTGGGAGGCAGAGGCAGGCAGGTCTCAGCCTGGTCTACAGAGCAAGTTCCAAGACAGCCAAGGCTACACAGAGAAACCCTGTCTCACAAAACAAAACAAAAATGTTTCTTTTATTCAAAAAGTTTTCAAATCTTTTATTTTTTTTTTTAAATAATTTTGCTGGGAGAGGTGATACATACCTTTAATGCCAGCACTCTGGAGACAGAGGCAGGCAGATCTTGGAGTTCAAGGTCAGCCTGGTCCACAGAGCAAGTTTTGGGACAGCCAGGACCACACAGAAAAAACCTGTCTCAAAAAAAAAAAATTATTTATACGTATGAGTGTTTTGCCTTCATGCATGTCTTAGTATCACATGTATGCAGTGCCTGAGAAAGCCAGAAGAGGGCATCAGATCCCTTGGTACTGGAGTTAGAGAGTGGTGACCTAATGATGCTGGTTCTGAGACTGGAACCCAGGTCCTCTGGAAGACCAGCCACTTAACCACTCAGCCATCTATCTCTCCACGCTTCATCTTCTATAATCTCCACTCTTCCTTTCATGGCAACTGTCTCCCATCCCCCACCTCCAACAGCATGGTCACTGGTGGCCTGGCTCCTGACACTATGAGGAAATAGCCAGACAGCCAGACAGCCAATCCCAACAGGCCAGTGTCAGGCCCCTGTACCAGGACCTGCAGAAGCACCAGCCCAGGCTTCTGTGGTACTAGGCTGGAGTCCTGCCTACCTGC